CCTAGAAAATCCCCATATAATCCCTGTAATCCTTGTAGTTTCCATTATCCCTATAAGCCCTTATTAAGGGAACCATACCATGAACCCAGGATCCCAACAAAGGTTAATGCGCGAGGTTTATGTCGCAAGTAACTATCCTGACCCCTCATTCTTCTTGTGGGCTATAAGTGCCAGATTCGTGTAGATTCTACACCTAGGCCTTAAACCCTAAATCCCAAAGGTTAGGGTTCAGGGCTTCGTATGAAGGATTGGCTTCTCCTCCACGATGGCCGCCTGTGGAAGGGCCTTCGCATGGTCGGAGCCTTAGGGTAGGGCTACGGGTCCAGTAAAGGCTGAAATAACAGAGGAACAAAGGGAAATTAAGAACTGGGACTGGGACTATGTAGGTCTTTACGGCCATTGATGTACGTAGGTTTGCTGGTTCCTGGTTGGATATTTGTTTTTCACCTTTGCTCTCCTAAAGCCGAATGCTTCATTATTACGCCTGGCCATCTCCATCTCCATATGGAACCAAGTAAAGGTTGAGGGATTCCATGTTTGTGGGTCTCTTGAATTAAGTGGCTATAACAGGGTCTAAGTAAGGCCACACTCACTTATGCACATAGGTATATGCATACATACCTACTTACATCCCCACGTGCTCTCACATGAGGTTGGCTGATCATCATCTGCCGAAACCACGAAGCAGTATGAAAACCCTAAACCCTATAGTTTGGGTCATTCCCCCTCCCAGTAACTGTCCTTAAAGGGGGCCTTATTAAGGGGCGATTATAATTCCTACTACCCCTCGTGGTAACTGTTACTGTAAGGGGGAATAGCCTAACGTATAGTAGTTTCCATTTCCATTTTTCTAGCCCAAACATTGAACCCCAGCGGTAAGCGCCCAAGCCCTCAGCCCCACGCTTCTCCAATGACAAGAGCATGCAATGCACACAAAACGTATGCAAGCTAGAATCTAGAATAATCCCCTATTATCCCCCCCTATAATGGAGAATCAAATGGAGAAGAACATGGAAAATGAAATGGACACTACAGAAACGTATACAAGTTATCTAGGCCCCTACCTAAACCCTGAACCCTAAACCCTAACCTACGGTATGGTTTCAGACAAGGCGCTGGTCACTTCACCTGCTGGACGACACTGGACAGCCAAGCTTTGCGGTTTCGAGGATTGGGGTTTAGGGATTGGGTTTTGGGGGCTTTGCAACCTCCCAAACCCTAAATGTTTGGGGTGTACGGTCTAGGCTTTATAGAGGTTTTTGGATTGAGTTAGGGTTTAGGAAGATTGTACATGAAGTAGCGCAAAATGAGAGGTCACTCTGGCTTGCAAGAAGCGTTTGGTTTACGGTTTATAGGAACTAGGCTGTAGGGTTAAACAGGCCACCTCAGCGATTACATAGGAGTTGGTTTGAGATTTTCGCGTCATAAGCCAAGGGTTCATGTTTGGGAGCATCCGGTGAACGCCGGGCATTGGGTTGTTTAGGGTTTAGGGTGTAGGGAGGAACAGTGTGTCCTGAGCCATACACATCTTGTACTTGGTTGCGGTATGCTTGGTTCTGTGATGTTTGCACTTGGCGGAATAAGTTAGGGTGGTGTGGAGGGATTGTTTAGGGACCTTGTCGATTCATTGTCGATTTCAGGCACAGCGGCATTCGGGTTTTGATTGCAGGGGAAGAAGGTAGCAGGTATTTACTGCTCATGGGATCCTCTTACATGTGGATGGAGTGGTTATTTTGGGGTATGAAGAGATTTGTAGGCCAATCACTCCAGATTCAGGGCTCAGGGCTTGGTATTCCCTGATGTCAAGATTAGGCTTACCAAGAGACCATGAAGGGTGGTCATAGGGGTCCCTTTGGCAGTTTAGTATAGTCCCAAATATATTTTCTAGGAGGGATCCAATAATTAGGTACTTGTGTTTTGGGTAGTCGTAGTTCGGCACAGCTTTTGGGTAGGTATACGTTGTTTGGTACTTGGACCCTTAGGGTTAAGGGGTGTAGAATCCAGGGGCTAAGAGTGTAGCCAGTCTGGGACTTGATTTCAGTTATGTTAACCCTAAGGGTCCATGCACCCAATAGGTACTTGGACCTTTAGGGTAACCAACCCAGGAAATGCCAAGAGCCACAGCAAAGCCCAGCCTCGTCAGCTACAACTCGGCGTTGCAGGCTGACGCAGCGTTTTTTTGAGGTCATAGGGTTTGGGGTTCGATGGGGTTATATAGGGATAGTGGAAAATAGAATGGAAACTATTATATTATATTGGGGTAATGTAGGGTTACATTGGGGTTATAGGCATAGGGATAATGGAAAAGAACATGGAAACTAGTATTTAGGGTTCAGGACATACAGCTTCGGTTCTGGTGTTTAGGTTTTAGGGTTCAGGTGTTAGGGCTTTTCAGATTTTGGGGTCCAGTATGACACACCTTTGAAGGGACTTATAGGGATGTATGAGGATATATAGGGCTCTCTTTGAAGGGTTTCTAAGAGATGTGGGTTTAGGGTTTAGTGTTCGGGGGGGTCCCAGCCTAGGGTCTACGGAGGTTTGGAATGGAACATGGGTGTAAGTGGGGCTTAGTATAGGTGTGAAAGCATCTGGGTTGTGGGTTGGATGTTTGAGGTCCCTACCAAAGCCGAACCCTAAACCCTAAACCCTATATAACCCCTATATAACCCCTATATCATGCCTATAATATGCCTATATAACCCTACATAACCCCCCTTTAAAAGGGGGAGTCTCAGGCTTGAGGTTTGAAATTATCGCTTAGAGGTTGGGTGTCACTTTGAAAGGTTTGCTGGGGTTGTTCAGGGTTGTATGTGCTGCTTTGCAGGGGGCACTCATAATTTTTCATATGGGTACACAGGTCGCTTTCAAAGAGTTTGTAGGATGTATTTTGGGATGTACAGGTCCCGCTCGAGTGGTTAATGACAGAAATGCATACAGACATATATATATATGCATAGATATAAACATAGGAATACATAGTGTGTGTAGGCCCTAGGATTCAGGGACCTACTTGAAACCTTATGGAACCGTCTAGGGACATGCCCTGAACCCTAAACCCTAAAACCACACAAATCGAGAGGACACCACCCTAACAGGATGGATTCTGTAGAGTGCAGACCCCTAGAGATCGGGGATGGCGTGAAATCCTAACCCTCAAGCCCTAGACCCTTCAACCATGAAACCCTTAAACCCTTAACCCTTAAACCCTTGAACCCTTAACCCTTAAACGCTTAAGCTTTAAACCCTTAAGCCTTAAACCCTTAAGCCTAAACAATGAAGGTTTAGGAGTGCAGGCCTTAGGGCGGGGGGGTAGCCTCGCTGTAGGTGTGTTGCAAGGGAATTTTGACATAATCCCTACATGCGCTCTCGCCTAAACTCCTAGCATCCCCTGTATGACGCCTTTAAGGAGTGTAGACTCTAGCTCACACGATACTGTTGATGGAACTCTTGCGCGGTATACATGACACCTGTTTGGAGTTAGGAACCCCTAAGCCCTAAACCCTAAACCATGAACCCGGGACACAGAGCCACTGCTGAGCAAAGTTTCCACAAGAAAACAAGCCGTTACGTGAACTATAGTCTAGTCTCCTTAAAGGGGGGCTATATGGTGGATTATACAACCCCCTTTATTTAGGAGTTAGGGTTTATGGTGTATGGTTTTGGGTTAACAGGGGGATTATATAAGCCCCTTTATTGAGGGTTTAGGGTTTCGGGTGTAAGGTTTTTGTTTATATAAGGGATTATCTAGGGGACTACTATAGGGCTCGGCAACCTCCGACTTCGGCAAGGTGCCAAATCCGAATGGAACTCGCGCAAAGGCCCCACTCAAGGAGTACGCTGGCGCGGAGGCACGCCACCTACGCCACCGACTTGGAGCTACCACAGAGACGACTTGCGGGCCTACGATCGCTGGGAGAGGAAAGTCAAGATCTGGGAGATGCAGGTGTCGGCTTACCTTCCTCCCAACGAGGCGGCTATGGCTCTCTACGTCTCGCTGAAGGGTACGAAGGAGGATGCTAGGAGTGTAGCCCATCGCTCTTGTCGGGGAGTAGACATAGGAATCCCATTGGTAGTGTAGTAGAGTCCCTATGATATTTCCTAATAAGGAACCCATGTCCGTCAACGAAATAGGAAATTGACTGTAGCCCATTCAAACATCTTGATAAGAGGATGCAGTAACAACTCAGTAGCCCTAGCCCCTGAAACCAGGAACCCACAACCAGCGTTGACTGTAATCCAGGCCTAAGATTAGGCTTCGGGGTTATAGAACAACGCCTTATTGCCTGCTGTAGACCCCAATACAACCACAGTTTATTCAATTTTCCACTTGCTTTGTCCATTTGATTCTCCGTTATTGGGGTTATATCCCTAAACTCTAAACCTTAAACCCGGAACCCCCTACCATATAGCCGCATATCCACTATTCAACACATTAGAATTCCCTGATCACGCCTAAAAAGTCCAAATATCCGATCCTAAGCCCTAAGACCTAAACCCTATGTAGCCCCATTATAGTAGTTTGCATGTTCTTTTCCATTATCCCTATACAGCCCCATGATACCCCTAATATTACCACAATGGGTAAACCTTAAACCGCTTTGTGAGGCCTCAGCCCTGAACAAGTCTATAGCCCTATAACCCTAAACCCTATAACCCTATGACCCTAGACCCTATAACACTAAACCCTGTAAACCCTAAACCCTATGACCCTAAACCCTATGACCCTAAACCATATAACCTAAAACCTAAACCCTATGACCCTAGACCGTAGAACCCTAAACCCTATAACCATATATCCCTAAACCCTAAACCGCTTTGTGAGGCCTGCGAGCAGGGAGGTCAGTGGCAACATGCCCTCTGCCTGCTGGAGGCCAGAAACCGTGGGCCCCCAAAAAGACAGCGATTTGATAGGATTTAGGGTTTATAGGTTGAGGGATATGATAAGGTTATATGGGGGGAATGTAGGGGTTGCAGGGTTATATAGGGGGGGGGGGGGG